AAAATGAAGTAAGTAATAGCAAATAAGTCACCTGACTGCTGGCAGGGGTAAGACCCTGCTCCCCCAACTCAATAAAAGGAATTCAACAATGACAAAGTGATGTAGACCCGGTACTACCCGGCCGCCGGACCCTTGAGAGTTTGTCCCCCAACCCGGTGTCCGACAAGTCATGCACATTTGGCATGCTCGAACAGCAAAAGTAGACTAGCTGCTTGCATATCTCATTGAACTAGTCACTGTCTACTAACCCAACCTCGGATATCATCTTGCCGGGCGACCGAACTATGGTAACTTTTCAGTTCTGCTCCTGGTCTTCATGTCCCCGACTTGTTCCCCACACAGACCAAGTAGCCCCGGTCCCACTCTGGGGTCAGGCAGTCGTACCCAGAAACACAAATATAAAATACCCCATGATTCCTGCAGATGAACACCCTTTCTTGATATAAAATCATCGAAGTCGATAAAATGCTTAATTGGCTCCTTGTCGGAATCGCGCTCGTAGCCGCTCAGGGTGGCTTCATCTATGGCCTTGACTCTGGTGGGTTCGACGATTCTGGAATACTTTATTTCCATGTCAAACTTATGGATGCCAGGTATCATTGCCACAACTTTCGGCCATGACAGCTTCCGCCTCTACATGTACGGTCCTGCCATGGCAAGTACAAGTCTACAAGGTACAAACAACTAGCCCTCACCTCCGACCGATAGAGAATGGCTGACAGTGTGAAGGTGCGATCGTATCTGTATACAACGCTGGCCAAGCAATAGGCGGGTATTCTGCCAGCTTCATAGCCGATAGAATCAGCCGCAGATGGGCCATTGCTGTCGCGTCTTTCCTCGCCGTAGTTGGAGGCGTCCTCCAGTGCGCGGCGATGAACGTAGGAATGCTGATTGCCGGGCGTCTCGTGGGGGGTATAGGATGTGGACAGATGCTTGCCGTAGTGCCTGTGTATCTGGCTGAAGTCTCTCCACCCAAGGCACGAGGATTCATCGTGGGCGTACAGGGCTTCATGGTCGCCCTCGGCTTCGGTGTTGCTAACTGGATTGGATACGCCGGCTCTTTCGCTGTTGGTGACGCTCAATGGAGGGTGCCCCTCGGAACACAGTTGCCTATCCCTGTCGTCCTGATGGTTTGTCTGCTTTTCATGCCGTATTCACCTCGATGGCTCGCCCAGCAAGACCGACATGAAGCAGCTAGGGCAGTTCTCTCTCGCCTTCACAAGAAAGAGAGTGATGATTTTGTCAGCCAAGAATTGATTCAGATTACTCGACAAATACAGCTTGAGCGAGAACAATCCAATCCATCATGGGCAGAAGCATTGGTCACAATGTTCTCCAAAAGGTACGCGCGTCGTTCGTTCATGGCCGCCTTCATCGTAGCCATGGGCCAATTCTCTGGATCATCCGTCTTGCAAAACTTTCAGTCAAACTTTTACGCTCAAGTTGGCTTTACCGGAAAGACTTCGTTGCTGATCAGTGGTGTCTACGGCATGATGGGAATTATCGGAGAGTTTGTGTATCTCGGAATTGTTGCGGACAAATGGTCACGAAGATTAACCTTAATCATTGGCTCTGGTGTGTTGGCTGCAATGCTAATTATCACTATGTCTATGAGTGCTGTATACGGCGTCAAAGGTAACGAAAACGAGGCTGGTGCGCGTGCTGCTATCGCATTTATCTTCATCTACTCAATGTGCTACGCTACATTCTTCAATTCGACTATATGGGTGGTACCGTCTGAGCTATTTCCCTTCTTTCTGAGAGCCAAAGGCATGGCTTTTGCTGTTTTCGCCAAGTCTACTGCCGCGATCGTGCTGTCCCAGATTACACCGGTGGCTTTGGCCAACGTAGGTTGGAGGTGAGCACTTCCATTTTCACCAACTGCTATCAGAGGCTAACTATGATTGCTAGGTACTTCTTCCTCTTTATTGCGTGCAATCTTTTTGCCGGGTGCATATACTACCTTTTTCTTCCTGAAACAGTAAGCAACGTCCCTATAACCCAACACAGCACCCCCACAAAGACGAAGATACTGATATTACTTCAATAGGGTGGTAAAACGCTGGAGGAAATCGCTGCTCTGTTCGGTGACGAGCTAGCCACAGGCACGATCAACGAAATTGACCCTCAAAAAGCACAAGTCATGGCTGCATGTATCGAAAACGAGCATGTGCCGGAGTACTCAGCCGGACAAGATTTGAAAAACCAAAATACAAGTGGTTTTCCTTCCAACGACAACATACAACATCCTCGATAATAGACGTATCTTTGGGTGCAGATCTAGGTCTTTCGGCAAACTGGCTAATCCTCTTCAAAGGCAGTTCGTCATATGAGTCTAACTCGGGTATTAGGTAGCTAGAATTGCCTGATCAGAGAAACTTGAATGAGACAAAGATCTCTATAGTCTATTTCATTCGGCTTGAGAAGAATTATCTAGGCGGCTTAGAGGCATAAGATAGTTGTAGAATTCTATATGTTTTTAGTCACTATTACAAAAATTGATATCACGGAGTCGAGGATTGTTGGCTGCAATGTAACCCCTGATATGTTGAATTACTTGGCGAATCCGGTACACTTTACTTAACACAATGAATAATTCTTTAGTCTCAGCAATGATCTCGTTGCTCTACACGCTTACAGCATTGCTAACTCATTGTGCTACGATGGGACTTTCAAAGCTGCGTACCTATACGGGCAGCGAACTGACTTTATTCTCCCTCTAGACGCGAGGTCATTCATGTGCTGTGACCTTAACTCATTGTTGGTATTGGCTAACTGAACATACTACCTCTATTTAACCAATGCCTAAACTTGGCGTCCCTTGAATCCTATGTCTATTGAAACTCCACGCTCTTGACCTATGTTCCGCAGATTATAATGCAATGTGGCCCCATTGGAACCGTGGACAGTTTCAAGTGCATCCAAATAAGCGTATAACAAAGCATTCGAATTTATATAGGGCTCTATTTAGATGTACATAGACAAACATGAATAAACGTTTGACGGGATTGCTCCAGGCTTCATACTATTTCACTATTTGTGTATAGTGGGTTTGTTTCGGGTTCAAACTACACACCGCCGCGCGCCATTTGCCAGGCCCACCATCATGGAGCCTTAAGCAGCAGATATGATCTTGCCGGCTGCGATCTCCGCGATATCATAGGCTGCCGTCTGGATGTGAGCCGATAGAATGATAGGGATGATGCTATTGTCGACAACTCGGAGATTGCTGGTGCCATAGACTTTGAGGTCCGCGCCAACCACGCCACCATCCTTCCGGAGCAGCAGGGAGCAGGTTCCGACGGGGTGATAGAAGCTGTTCACGGTGTCGGTCGCAAACTTCTTCCACGCACCATCGTCGTCTGAGACAACCGACGGGCCCGGCTCCGTTTCGGTCACAGCACAATCCCCGACGCCTCTGAAGAGTTCAAGGATGCCGACACGCCCACTTGTATCAAGATACAGCTGCGACAGAACCATCTGGGCAAGATCATCGGGAGAAGCTTTGTAGAGCACTTGAAAAACCACACCATCGTCTTGAGATGGGGCGCTACTGTCAACCAGTGGCGTGACACGCTGGACGACGAAGGTATTGTAGCTTTGCATCTGGCGGCACGCTTCGGATGCACAGAATTGATACATTATCTGCTTACTTCAATTACTCTCTAGATCTTGTCGCATATACCTAGACATCACTATAAGGACGTCTCCACACCCATGCAGCCTAACATTACCATTGACAACAGGCAACAGACAGTTCATTCTCCAGTAATTTCTCTTGTTTCTCCCGCTATTGCATAAAGCGCACAAAGGGCAGACCTACCCTATTATTTCTATGGGCACCTGAGGGAGGCCGCGGTGTGCGTGTGCAGAGTTTTCACACAGGCGCCCGAGCCTCTTAGGTCTCTCGAGTCCTGACTGACCCAATCCTACTGCCGATTTCCCGACATCCAATCCACCCAGCCACTCCACACACCACACACACACACACACACGCAAACAACAACGACAGCACATTGCCGAGAAGAAAAAAGGGAAAAGCCTCTACGTGTCGGCGTGGGGTGGAGGTGTCGTGCGCGAGAGGCGACCTCCGCGTCTAACAGCTCTCACGCAGGAATGACACTTGATTCTGTTAGTAGATCCCGTTTTTCCCACAAGCTGCTGAATTCTGGAGAGTCATGTTATTTATGATAGGGTCAAAAGTCTGGGGTCTCCTTGTTACAGCCAATCAAAGTAGATGTCCAGTGGCACCACTCTCCACATAATGTCGTAAGCCAAGAAAAGCCTAAGACAACGGCTTCTCCCAGGATACAAGCCGCCACAGAACAGCCGCCTTCTAACTTCTCAGCTTTCTCAACACAAGTCGTCCCCCGTGGCTGGTGCATCCACCGCGGATTTGGTGTAAATACTCAGGGCTCCCCCTTCTGGGGACCATTCCCCCGTTCTACCGATCCCCATCCGGCCCGAGGAGCGATCTTCACAGTATTGTCTATCCATACCTCGAAATCCCGCTGAGAGGTTTGCTTTCTCTCTTTGTCTAGTCATTTACACGTATCACAAGTCTCAATATTCCACCTTGGCCTCCAGAGTTCATCACATTGTTGTACCTTAAAGCATTTCATTTCCGCCGACTCTCATCCTAGACTGGCGGACAGACCACCGCCTAGCTGCCTACGCACTTTCTAAGAGAGTACACGACAGCACGGCATTGGTGTGCCATTACATTATGGCCCACGAGGAGAAATACTCAGCGGACCCGACCAGAATGACCGATAACAAGCCCGCTGGTGGGAATGATTCCGACTTCGACCGTGGCCAGAACCAGGTTCTTGAGAACACCGACGGCCTTCACAGGCGCCTCAATAATCGTCAGATCCAACTCATCGCAATCGGTGGCTCTATAGGAACCGCGCTCTTCATTAGCATTGGCAGCGGGCTGGCTAGTGGTGGTCCTGCCAGCTTGTTTATTGCCTACACGCTCTACTCGGGCGTCCTGGGCCTCGTGAATAACTGTATCGCCGAGATGAGTACCCTGATGCCCATCAGTGGTGGTTTCATTCGGCTGGCCGGTCTCTGGGTCGACGACGCCTTCGGGTTCATGGCTGGCTGGAACTTCTTCCTCTACGAAGCCCTCCTTATCCCTTTCGAGATCACCGCCATCAACCTCGTCCTCTCTTTCTGGAATCCTGTTGTTACTGAGCCCGGCCCCACCGCCGGAATCTGCGCAGCCGTCATCGTCTGTTATGGGTAAGGCCTCCTATCATCTTTTCTCAGATTTTCGCTGGTTCTTTCCTTCCTCGTCTCAGTTCTCTCACGGACAGCCCTCCAGGGCCATCCTTGACACTCATAGATTTGTTGCAGCTGTGTCAAGATAAAAAGCGCCCTCTCAGAGAGAACTTACTCTTCTTCCTACTCTATTTGCCTCCTATTGTCTTTCCATCTACTCCTAGTGCTTTTCATTGTCGCGTGTCCAGAGTGTCTTATCTTTTGGATTGATCCAGGTATCTCCCCCTCCTATCCAAAGTCTAGAACTAAACTTTTGCCTTCTACTTATAGGCTTATTAACGTACTTGCTGTCCGCGGGTACGGCGAGGCAGAGTTCTGGCTCTCTGGTGGCAAGTTCATTCTCATTTGCCTGCTCTTTGCCTTCACTTTCGTGACTATGGTTGGCGGCAACCCTCAGCATTGGGCCTATGGCTTTACTTACTGGAACAACCCGGGCCCATTCGCTGAACACCATACGAAGGGGAACCTCGGTCGCTTCGAAGGCTTCTTGGCATGTCTGTGGTCTGCTTCATTCTGTGTAGTCGGCCCCGAATATATATCCATGGTTGCAGCCGAAGCGCAACGACCCCGTCGGTATATTAAGAATGCCTTCAAAACAGTCTATTGGCGGTTTGGATTCTTCTTCATCGGCGGCGCACTTTGTGTCGGTATCGTCCTGCCGTATGACGACCCGACGCTACAGGCGCTGCTGGGTGGTGGTACTGCCTCGTCCTCGCCATACGTCATTGCTATGAAGAATTTGGGCATTGGGGGCTTGCCACACTTGGTCAACGCACTTATCCTGACTTCTATCTTCTCGGCTGGCAATACGTACACGTATGCGGCTACCCGATCTCTATATGGCCTGGCCCTCGAGGGCCGTGCTCCTAAGATTCTGGCTAAGACAACAAGGAATGGCGTGCCCATTACTGCCTTCGCCGTCGTCATGTGCTTCCCCTTTTTGTCCTTTCTGCAGGTTTCGAGCGGCTCGGCGACCGTGCTGACATGGCTCGTCAATCTCATCACTGCCGGCGGCATCATCAACTACATCATCATGACGACCACCTACATCTTCTTCTACAAAGCGTGCGAGACGCAGGGCGTCGACCGCAGGACGTTCCCCTACCGGGGCTGGTTCCAACCGTACGGCGCATACTTCGCGCTCGCCTTCGAGACCCTGGTACTCATCTTCTATGGCTACAGCTCCTTCACACCGTGGAGCGTGGACAACTTCTTCACGTACTATACGATGGTCATCGTGGCTGTCGTGCTCTTCGTCTTCTGGAAACTCTTCCGGCGCACCTCGTTCGTCCGGCCCCGCGAGGCTGACCTCATCTACCAGCGGCCCGTTATCGACACCTACGAGGCCAGCTTCCTGCACCCACCGGTCTCCTTCTGGCGCGAGTTGCTCGGCTTCTTTCGCTTCAAGAAGGACAGCAACATTGATGAGAACGCCCCGGGGGCGGTCAGCACGTGAATTCAGTCTCGCTACATATTCATTCATGTGTATATTATGCGGTGAAACAGACAAATCAAGCGACATGTTTAGTGACATGCATTCTTTTGTAATTTTGGTTACATTAGTCCATGTTCAATCGCAAAACCTAAAGGAGGGCATTGCAAAAGAACTGCCAAAAAAAATCAAGAGAGAAAGAAAGGAAGAAAGAAAGAGCGAGTGCTGCATAATAACATATGGTACGTGAACGAAACGGCCAAAAAGCTACTTCGCACATATGGTATGCTGCACTTTGCAGAAGTCGTCCTGGACGAGTCTTGCAATAATGGATGGAGTTTCTATTTGTCCCTTCGCTGGGTCGTAGAGAAGCACAATGCATTGCGTGGTGATGAGTGAACCCGTAAATGAGGCGCAGATGATCGATTCCCTACTGACTATGCGGTAGCGGACGAATATGGGATATTCATTTCGGGGAACGGCAAAGGTTGCAGAGAGTTGTGGACTTGAACCTGGTAGGGTAGTTTATATATATAGATACACACTAGACGCACTCCTGCTTCATTGGACGTTACAGTGTCATATAATTAAATGCATGAAGTTATCCATGGCTAATTGCTGTTCTGGTCCAGCCCAACGGAACCGTGTCCGGATTCATTGCATCGCATAAATTACCAGAAAACTGCACTTGATTCTTTCTTTCGGCTGTTAAAAGCACAACAATCTCGGTGGCGACTTCTTTCATTTGCATCGTGCTGCCAGACGTTGGCTTCGCCTAGTCCCAGTGCCTCCCTCTCGCGGCATCCACTGGCTGATCGATCGATTCAGCGATCGTTGAATCGCGAGTTGTTCCCACAAAGTTTAGTAATTTCTGCATGATTCTGACATAAAGGTCTTCATGGTATGGTGTACCCGCCTTGCCATAAGGCACCTCTCTTCTTTTATCGCAGCAACATATTGATGAATCGTTTGATCAAGTGAGTTAGTGAATAAACGTGTACACTGTGAGATTGGGACACGTGCCCCCTTTCTTAATTTGGAATAGATCCTCCCTATAAATGGTTGCCTTTGAGGGTCATCATGAGTCGAGCTTTGGCCTTCTTTTTGTCTAGGTGGAGTAGGCAAAGTGGTCGGTCAAGGAGCTGTCTTCGGGCGCACCTGCATTGATGGTTGGTCTATATAGCATAGGATGGAATGAAGGGTATAAATGTTAAAAGGTTTGATGGAATAGCAACCAAGGCAAAATCATCACGTGTGTGAAACGCCCAGACATTATTTTGCTATCGAAAAGACATTATGAAGTGAAATCCTCGAATAGAAAAATAATGGCCATAATCTTTGAAGAAATGGCAAAGTACTTTCTGTTGATATGCAAGGAGGTGTGATAATTGAAAAGGATGGATACGTACTCCAATCAAAATTATAGGGCCAAATCAAGTCCTGAATTACTCGACATTCAACGTGGACAAATATCACCTCGAACCTAATCTAGTTGACGAGCCCATCTGATATTTTCTATGAAATTGATCAAGAGTTTCTTGGGCATTTACCGATTTCGTACTGGCCGATAATGGTATCATTTTGGATCAGGCCTTAGACGACAGCAATGACTTACACTTATACAGCGTTCTCGAAGTTTTGGATCTTCAAACATTTCCTCACGAACGTCCTTCAGACCAAATTCAGCGCCATGGTTTGAATAAAGCATGTTTGAATCACTTTCCTAGGTGTCAATATAGGCTATATTCCGTCTGTATGAACAATCTACTGGCCTTGGTGGTTTCCCTCTTATGAAATGAGGTTAACTACTCGCCGTTTCAAGCCCAACATGCACTACATTCCTATTCTCAGGGCATGATCTGGACCGTCGCCAATGCGCTCATCCCCGTAGACGACTCATTGAAGGGTCATATAGCGGTTCAGGCATTACAGTTGCCTGGATTCGACGGCCAAAGTACTCAATCTCTACAGCATCTCCCTCGGTGACCGCGATCGGGAGATAGGCATATGCGATGGGCTTTCCGACCGTGTAGCCAAACGCTGCGCTGGTCACGTAACCGGCTGCGCGGCCAGACACAAACACCGGCTCTTTTCCGAGGACGACAGACTTGCCATCATCCACAACGAGACAGCGCAGCTTCTTGGTAGCGGATTCACGAGATCGTCCTGCCAGCGCAGCCTTGCCGACGAAGTCTGGCTTTTCAAGCTTGACAGCAAAGTCAAGGCCAGACTCGTATGGATCGTGCTCGGTGGTCATGTCTGCGCCCCAGGATCGGAATCCTTTCTCCAACCTCAGTGAGGTGAAAACACTACGGCCGGCGGCAATGATGCCGTGGGGCTCGCCAGCTTTCCAGAGGACATCCCACAGACGAAGACCGTTCTCGGCGCTCGCATAAATTTCCCAGCCCCGCTCTCCGACGTACGACAGTCTCATGACATTGACTGGAATGCCACAAATGATTGCTCTCTTCGTGCGAAAGTATGCCAGACCTTTGTTGGAAAAGTCATCGGCGCTGACAGCCTGTATGACTTGGGGGGCCAGAGGGCCCCAAAGTCCGATACAGCATGTGGAGCCCGTGATGTCGCGGACCTGTGTCTGGCTATCGGGAGATGCTTTGCTTTGCAGGCGGGCTTCTCGTGTGAAGTAAGCGGTGTCTACGGGACCATTTACGCCGACTTGAAACAACTCCTGCTCTATTCTGGCCACGGTGATATCGCTACGGATACCGCCTTGCTCGTCAAGCAGCAGTGTGTATGTGACGGCGCCGGGTTTCCTGTTGACGTTGCCTGTCGTCAACCGCTGGAGCAGGGCCACCGCGCCAGGGCCAGATATCTCGAGCCGGCGTAGTGGTGTCATGTCGTACATTGCCACGGCCGTGCGTGTTTTCCAGGCTTCAGCTGCAGCGATGGGCGAGTAGTACCGGTCAGACCACGAGTCACGCTCGACGGGCTGCCACTCCGCCGGCAGGTCTTTGAGGAGCTTCGCATTCTCCTCGAACCAATAAGGTCTCTCCCAAGCACCACTCTCAAGGAAGAATGCACCGAGCTGCTGTTGACGCATGAAGAACGGAGACACGCGTAGATTGCGGGGAGACTCTCGGGGTTGTAGGGGGTGCAGAATGTCATAGACCTCCACGAAGTTCTGGGACGAGGTCTCGAGTACGTATTCTGGAGTGGTTTGAATCTGCTCAAATCTCGAGATCTCGCACTCGGCCAGGTCTATTCTAGACTTGCCGTTGACCAGAAGTTCCGCTACTGCGCGAGCTACACCGGCTGAATGCGTTACCCACACAGCCTCTGCTACGTAGAAGCCGTCGAGGCTGGGGGCCTGGCCAACAAGTGGGCCACCGTCTGGAGTAAAGGAGAAAATACCATTGAACCCGTCGGCGATCACGGTGTTCTTCAACACAGGAAGAATCTCCTGAGAGAGCTTCCAAGCCGGCTCAAAGTCGTCGCGTGTGAACTCTAGCCGGGATGGCATGCTCTGCTCGTTCACATTTTCGGGGGTTCTGCCTAGCGACGCGGCGTCCACGGGCATGGGATGGTGGCCGTAGTAGCCAATCCCATACTGATCGCCGTGTTCGCGGTAATAGAGATCTTGGTCTTGGTATCGCAGGATTGGCAATGTTGCCGAGTTTGCATTAATCGGCAGGTGGCTGGCTTCACTGCTTAGACCGTCTTCATCTGTAGTAGCAACGCCATTGGTGTGCGGTACGGCCGTGGTCTTGGCGTACTGATGCGCCATGGGCAGTAAAGGGACGGACAGGCCTACCATCTTGCCGATCTCGACTCCCCAGAAGCCTGCACAGGAGATGACGATGTCAGCTGGTAACGTGGCATTTGGGGTGACCACTCCGGTGACAGAGCCTCCGGCTATTTCGATGCCAGTGACAACTGTCTTTTCTAGGTAGCGGACTCCGGCCTCTTTCGTTCGCTCAATGAGAAGTTGCACAGCGCGGGCGGCCAATGCCAAACCATCGGTGGGAATATAGAGACCACCAAGCACCAGCTCAGTATTGAGACGGGGGTATAGCCTGCGGCACTCGTTCGTGTCAACGAGTCGCGCATCTATTCCCCACGATTGTGCATAGCCCAATTTGCGCTTTAGCTCTTCGATTCTCTCAGGGGTGGTGGCCACTTCTAATCCGCCGACCTGGTTGAAACAGCTCTCTCCATCCTTCTCTAGGGATAACAACTTCTCCACAGTGTAGCGAGCGAATAAGGACATGGTCTTTGAGGCGTTAGTTTGGAACACCAGACCGGGAGCATGTGATGTGGATCCTCCAGGCATGAGCAGAGGACCTTGTTCAATGACGGTGACATCCTGCCATCCTCGTGAAACCAGCTCGTCGGCAATATTGGTGCCGACAATGCCGGCACCAATAACAATAACTCGCGGACTCATACTTCTTGCGGTCACCAATATGAAAACAAAGTCTGATTCTCCAGCGATGCCTGAAAGCCGAATTTATAATGGCAAAATAAATTGCACCGGTAGCAAACTCGAGATAGCCTGCTGTTGAGGAGAGGGAATAGGGGAACGGGAATTGGCTAAGAATCCCGCAATTGCTGATTGCCAGATTTGGGAATATATGCAAGTATGTCAAGGTATTCACAGAAACTCTTTCACTATGCTATGCAGCGTATACCATACATGACCTTGATAGTAAACATCGACACTAACACGAAAGTGGAGAACTCTCGCGACTTTATCATTCACGTGATCGGCGTTAGATCCGGTAGCCCGTGTTTATCAATGACCTCGTGCCTCTATCAGATGGTAGGGTTGCAATGAAGTTAACGGGCTAGCCAATCGGCCAGCAGAGCCCCGAAGACGCCCTGCACCCGGAATGCGACCTTGACAGAACATGCTAGCCCAGCACGCCCAGATTGCCACCCGCAAACGCTAGCTTAGACCTTTCATGCGACTGTCGCCCTGGTGGCCGATGATCGGGATGTGAAGTTGTTGATTCTTCCAATGAATCACAGCATAGATAAGAGATAAGGGTCTGGAAAGTTTGATAATGACATAGATACAACAGCCCGAAGAACACCCCGAAACTATCGAAGTGTGCGATTTCTGCACATACATTGCGTGTCGCATGAAGATATGATAACCCGCAACAGTCTGCCCTTATCGTTCTCCTCAAAGACCAGCGGGCCGTTCTCTTGTTCTGTCCTGCCAAAGAACCACGAGAACGAAATGGAAATTCCGCAGCATGTTTTGGCGTATCTTGCTGATTCGTACATCGGCATTGTCCTTCGATGCTGACTAGTTGAACATAGCACTGCTAAAGTTGCCTCCCTCCCACCAAGGTGCAGCCCTGTTATCATTCATCGCAGAAGAAGGCTCGTACCAGCCCATACTATCACCCAAGGTCGCAAAGTGCGAAGGGTTCGCGTATAGCCAAGGAGTAGTATTGAATGTCAGATTGTCAATGAATTCAAACGAGGGCTCATTGCCGATGATGTTGCGCGCAATCTCTCTAGTCGAGGTAGAACTGAGACGAGTCCTGCTCGGCAACGAAGGCGCCTCCTGTCCACCATCAGTCGTGTCTATTGTGATCTCTGGTGCTGTTGCGACGACGATTTCGAGTATCGAATCCTCGCCCTGGTCTTCTTGCACGACCCTGGGAGCGATCGAGGCGTCCAACAGCTTGGCACTGGGCGTACCTGGCGTGTCCGTCGTGCAGTTAAACAGCAAAATATCCCACATGAGCGGGACGCTCAGATTTAGTTTGGATGGTGTCCAGTCTTCGAGATCCATCCCATCCGGATCGGCAGCGATTCGCATCATTTTATCGAGACTGTGGTCCTATTGACTGTAAGCTCATGCGTCTCATCCGATTACATGCTAAGTACATACTAGGGCCGCACAAGCCGGGGAGAATGGCGCAAAACTCTGCAGAAACTTTCTGCACTTTGCAAGATCAGTGTTTGATTTGCGCTTTAACCTGGCGGCTGCTGCGCAACAGTAGTACAAATGGACTGTTGCAGCAATCGCAGCTGTGTGCCCGAAGAATGGGTCGGTGACCGTCACTTGTTTCTCCACAATCATGTCTATGATGCGGACGATCCAAGTAGCGTGCAGTAGGGCGAGTTCTGATGATCTCCGCCAGAAAGTGTTCGGAATAGCCAGGTTTGGATTATGCTGTGCACCAACGATGTAGAGGAAGGGATGGTTGAGAACGGTCGGGATGGCATGATATGTGAATTGTTCTCTGAGCCATGGAGCCCAGTAGTCATGATTCATTCTCAGATCTTCCGGCTTGCGCTTGAAAAATTTGACCGAGTCATATCTATGGCACATGGGAATCCAGTGCTCTGTCTCCATGAAGTCCGACGTAACCATGGCGTATGCCGAGTCGTGTCGCCATGGCTCCTTGAGTATGTTTTGGGAGCAATCAGAGGCATACTTTCTCACCTGACCCCAAACCCAAGCCAGGCGGAGACCTGTGTTCCAGATACCGGGCTCGCTTGGCCCGGCATGTCCCAAATCGTCTCTGGGTAAGGACGGTGTCTCCGGGCCAAGGTCTGAGCTGCATCCGTGTATTTCACGTGTAGAACCAAAAGCTACCCGGCTTAATTGTAAAGAGACACTCAGAAAGCCTGTAGGACGGCCGTAAAAGTGGTCGAGTAGTTGAAGACTCCAGAAAAGTCTCTTCTTCCGTTCCATTGCTGGATCCTGAGCAGAGTAGGTCGTTACATGAGTGAGCAACGCGGATCGACAAAGTTGCAGAGCAAGGCCGAGATGGAACTGGCCAAGATGGATATTGCCATCTGGCTCGGTGTTAGCAAGAGTACTCTTGATGCGCGAGAAATCAAAGGCGATTAATACCAATGAAGAAGGAGTAAGAAAGAAGACACAGGCTTTCAATCGTCAGAAGGGTCACCGTGCCATTCGCCACGCGGTGCATGATTAGATGCCTCGCATCGTCACCATAAGAGCGGTCATGATTTGATGAAAAGCGTGAGGTCAAGGCTAGGATACTGCCGATTAGTTCTTCTGGTAATGACTTGATGTCCCTGATCTCTTCGCGCTCAAAGCACCATACTGGTTGTCTATGGCAATGCTCAAAGTATATCCGAATGCCTTGAGCGATTTCTGTGTGAATCGGTCGTGAGTTTGAGGAAGCGGGTTCAGACAAGACTGTTGAATGATGACTAGCCGGTGTATTTCGCTCGGGAGCTGAACTCGGAGAGTACGACGGCTCGGGAACATTGAATGCTTCTTCACTTGAATGGTTCTGACTCCCGGAAGTCGTGCGATTTGGCCTGATGCGTCGATCAGCACATCGATCAAGGTCAACGTCCTGGGCAAACTAACAAGCTCCTGCCTAATATCCGATCTAATTTCTCTTCTAAGTTCGTCAATCTTTCTTCCTACTAAATGTCAAGAGATGTCGAGCAACTGCGTGCACCGTATGTTAGTCATACCGAAGGACCGCCTCGCGAGGACTTCATCAACGGAGGATAGGTGCATTGTTGGTTGAGGCGGGAGCAGCTGGAACAAGCTGGTCTCTCGCCAGGACAGCGAATCTTCTTTCTCCTGTTCTATGATCAGTGTGTATCACGCAGGACGTGCGAAGATCAGAAATCACCTGCATGGCAAGCAAGCATTGTGTGATCTGCGTCTACAACGAGGACTGGTATTGCTTTCTGTTGGAGGCGTCATCAAGTCCAAGTCCGAAGGGATAAGCTCCTCGTGAAAGAGTGCGGGGTAAGAAGGTCCACAGAGCAGAGCGGGCGGAGATGATGGATCACTAGTCAGGCTTATAACCTATTCCTACCCAGGTAGTCAACCTCATTTCTTGTTCTTTGAAGCATGCCTGAAATCCTGTCGTGGCGATGTTTTGAATATTGCTAGGTCGAGAGAAAGATTGCTTATCTTGAGTGGAGACGTCCTGGGAATTGACCTGCTCCACCAAGATAATCGCAAGATAAGCGCTCTCCGCCTAGCGATTCTCATTTGTAATCGTACACTGGCAATACGCCCTTTAACAGTTAACAGGCTGATTAGACTCGGTCCTTTGCTCTATTCCTGGTTGCGGCTTGAAAACGACAAGTACGGTGGGAATTACATTAGATATGCAACTCATGAAGAGGGCAGCATTTGTCATTATTGATTTTGTTTCACTGCCCTGTGCTGCAGTTGAGGCGAGGCAAGATGAAAAAGCGGGACCCTTGAGGTTCCCGCTTCCGATCTATTTTTGGAGATATCCGGTACGATTCTTGTGCAAGTTACAACTTGGAAGCCTTCTTGACATCTATAAGGTCCTCCATTTCAAATCTCGGATAGTCAGGATTGACGGACGATTGTGGTCTTTCCCGATCCCAAGCCCATTTCTGTGTCAATTCAGGAGATAGCTCCCCTTCCATCATCTGGACTATATATTTTCCCAGCACGGGGAAGAATTTGTAGCCGTGGAAATTGCCACAAGTTGCAATATACAACCCTGTCGCAGCAGAATGTGGGGAGATGATAAAGTCGGAGCTGGTGGTAAAGGCGTCCCTGTCCAGAGTCAGAATTTAACCATCGCTCGAAACATGATTGCCAAACAAAGCTCACCAGCAGATTCGATGCTTGCCCATCTTCCAGTCAGCACCGTTTTTGCCGTAGAATACCTTGTTCGCGTGATCGATATCTCCTTTAAGCCTTTCGGAAACCATCCACTGCGCATAGTCCGACCCTGCTGGAGGAGCCGAGAGGAAACGACCAGGCAACACCTCTCGAGTGTTTTTGAAGATGGTCTGACCCCACCATTTGAGTTCTTTGTCTTGAGTTGGGGGTAAGCTGCCTATAAATGGACCTTTGATTCAACATTAGTTGCGTGTGAGGTGAAACAGAGATTTAGGGAGATGACCTGTTGCGGCAGTGTATCCCTGGACACCGACGGGCATCGATGCAAATTTTGGGTATGTTTCGTCGTCCAGTTTGGTCATTCCTGTCGTGATTCCACCCGCGACAATCCTTGGTCCAGCCCGCAGATTACTCAGTCCGCTACTTGTCGCACTATATTCCAGCAATTTCGGCGTGTATGCGCCAGTGCAGAGAACAACATGCGTGCCTGTCAGAACACTACCTCTTGCTGTTTTGATTCCATAGCAGCGGCTGTCTCTATCCAAAAGTAAGTCTGTAACTTCCCCCACGTGGTACTTAACACCCAGGTCTAGAGCATTGCGAGTTATGGCCCTCAATGCATCACCAGCAGCAGCCCAGCCACTTGATTTATTAATTAACACCTCCTTGGCCCCCGAATAGTCGGCATCTTTGAAAAGGCCGCCGTAAAGCTGACGGGCTTCCTCAATAGGATAGGCCGCCAGATCAGCTGTCCGGCCCAGCTTTTTGTAGTTATTGATGACATCCTGTGCATAGCCACTGCGACATATCCAGTAGATGCCAGTCTCATGGAAGTACGGCTTCCAGAGCGGATCCGTTTTGAAGATGTCTTGTGCCTCCAGTGCCAGCCGGCAGTATACGATGTCATCGTAGTCTGCGCGCACGACCTTGTTCCAATCCCATGAAGCAGCTACTCGACTTTCTGCATCGTATGCATCCCGGTCAACCAAAGTAACTGACGAATCGGGATACTTGTTGATCAAATGATGAGCGGTCGAAACGCCGAAAACCCCTGCCCCAACAATAATGTAAGACGGCTCGCCTACAGCCATAATGACAAGAAAGGGATGGCTGGGTCGTAAAGAGATTCTTTGCCACGATGGCTCTGAGCGACAGACACCAAGGGATCAAGACGTGTAGAACCGAGCTCTGCTGAAGCCTGAGACAGACATAGCTTACATGCCGTTGGAGGGCTGATAATATGGTTCGCAGAATAGCATCAGAACCAGGGGTCGAGTGGATCACAATCGGCTCTACCGAAACCGCTCTCTCATGATTTTACCGCTTTTGGTGCTGGGGAGCTTAGGCAAACGCCGATCACCTGATCGTATCTTCCGATTCTAGCGCCCCGCAACGGAATCCGATCACGTGATCGGTGATATAGGTACTTGAAAGGGGAAGTTTTGGCTCGATGGGGTAGTAGATCTATGTATGGACGTACGGAGTCAGATATCTATTGTGTGTGTGTGTGTGTGTGTGTGTGTGTGTGTGTGTGTGATTAGTTCCCCTACCGGAGTAGTACAGATAAGGACAGCGCGGTTGTATATGAGACTGACAACGGCACATTCGAGCGTCTAGGTTTAGATTAGTAGCTGTAATCAATCATAAAGCTTCACGTCCCGAGCGCCATTTTCACCAGACACACGATTAATACGCCCAAAGATGGCTCAAATAGCGACTTTTCATTTGCCAAATTTTCCGTTCTTTGGCCTCTCGGTCTTTATATTTGCCATAATACTCAAGATGCTATCGAGATACCTTGGTCGAGACTCGGTGGCCAAGACTCAGACCGAACTATCCCCAGTTAGAGCTCTGCCTGGGTCGTGGTACACTTCTCGGGCAATGTACGATCTTGAGAGGCGGGCCATTTTCTCTAGGAAATGGTTGCTCACTACACATAAGGCTAGACTGCCCAATACGGGAGACTGGGTACAGTATGAGGTTGCTGATTTCAAGTTCATCATTGCCAAAGACCGCACCGGCGCCATCAACGCATTCCACAATGTCTGCAGACATCGAGCTTTCCCAGTTGTCACACAGGAAAATGGCAACAACAGTATCCTTGCGTGCAAATACCACAACTGGACCTACGGTCTCAACGGGAAGCTTACTAAAGCACCAGGATATCAAGAACTGGAGGGATTCGACAAGTCGAAAAATGGACTCTTCCCTATACACGTCCACATTGACGCAAACGGATTCATCTGGGTCAATATGGACAGTGCCGAGAAACCAATTGCCTGGGACAAAGATTTTGATGGTATCGATAAACAACACAGATTCCAAGCTTATAACTGGGACGATTATGTGTTCGACCACACCTGGGAAATGGAGGGAGAATATAACTGGAAGATATTGGCAGATAACTACAACGAATGCTATCACTGCCCTACGACACATCCTGACATCCCGAGCATTGCAGATTTGGACGCATATTCGGTCAGGACAGAGAAGGGTTATGTCCAACATCTCGGTAACCCCACGCCGGAACAGATTGCCAGAGGCTTCAATGTTGCCGCCACGTACTATTTCCCTAATGCTTCAATGAACGTTTCGTATGTCAGATCACAGACCGCAGTCATACTAAAAGCAACACTAACACCTACCTACCAAGACCACACTTCTTCTTCATGCAACGATTTGTCCCAAAGGGTCCTCACAAATCTGTCATGAGCTACCAGGTATTCAGGAACAAGAACTCTAGCGATGAAGACTTTAAGGTGATCAACGACATCTACAAACGCATCATGTCGGAAGACAAGGTCCTGTGCCTCAACGCACAGAAGAACATAAACGCCGGCGTGTTTATCAACGGTGAGATGCATCCGAGGTTGGAGCAGGGTCCTCTGTTTTTCCAGAACACGGTACGCGAGGCGGTCACTGCACACCACATGCAAGAAGCAAAGGCAAAGCGCGAGATATGGCCGTCTCGACAGACTCTGCCGGATTCTGCCACTGTCACCAAGGACGACTTCGAGTTCTGCTCGAGTCTGGACTGTTCGAAGGCTGAAGGGTTGGATTGGTAGCGGCTAGAAAAAGCAAAGGTGGCCGAGTCACTACGCCCGGGCACCGCATGTCCACGGGTCAGAAGCACAACAACCAGCTTGATCAACAGGCCGGACGAGAGCTGCGCCAGAGTGTTACCCAATGGTCCCAGCTCACAGACCAAGACAATTTTAGGAGTTGATCTCCAACTATTTGATCGGCCCGCCGATATGGGCAGCTGCTACAAAGGCCGGTTTCCCAGCACCGACAGAAAACATGACAATTTAAGGTCCTATTTCATTGGTTTCGAAATACATGCGAAATTTCTTGGTTCAATTGAGTTCTCAGACCTTTATAGGCAATGCGTGGATGATAAGCATGTCTTTTATCTTCTGTGAGTTATTGAAAACAACGGTTTCCAATCAGACCTGCCTCAATGCTATGTTTGGATAGAGTAGTGTGATAGCATACAGTGAATTTGGCTGGAAAAAGAAATCCAGAAGGGTGGCCTCAAGACTTCCGAATGATAGAGACTTGCTTCATGAGTTAAGCGAGCTAGATTAAGGACTCTCGAAAAATAACGCCCTGATGATGAAGATCCATGCAATCCTCAAGAAGAATTATCATGGCAGTGCTGCCCGGGTCAATTTACTGTCCCCCCAGATTAGGCACCTGTATCAGACCAGTCCCTAGAACTAATCCGGCGCATTGGTTTTTCTTCTCAGACCTACTTGCCGCCCGACCACATCATGCATTATGACCATAACTGCCTGCTTTACTGTCTCCCACTCCCATTCTGACCACGTAGCAACACACCTACCATTCCCAAGAACAGAAAAAGAAAAGGAAAGACTTTCTTAATATATATAAATTATTATGGCCCTAGGCATGGCCTTAAAGGAGCCTTATTGTGTTGTGAAGTATAAAGTAAACTGATGTATATTGTGTAGCTTAACTAACAGGACTTATATAAGCCAGTCGGCACCACCTGCATACGCCTTGTAGTCACGTAATTTGGCACTGTATGTATATCTTGCCTTAGGGGTTGACTGCGGTCTATTTAGTAACTATTTAAATCTACTAACATTGGCTAACTATGTATATACTTTATTAAAGTAGTGATTTTTAAGTTTATATTATATTACCTTTCTAGCATTAAAAATACTATGTAGAATCCTCGTACAGATGGCCTTGCTTGGCTTGGTTTTTAGTACAATCCGGAATACGAGTCTCTTTTGGTTGTTATTGTTCATGAGTCCTTACTAGTTCTATCGCCGCCGCTCTTGTTTGTAGTGTGATGTAGGATGCTGGAATTATTTTAGTCAGCGTCGATGCTGATGGCAGCGGCCACCGTTGATGTCCCTGTAGCAGGTGAGGAGGAGACCTTAAAATCAGAGCCAAACAGGTAAGCGGAATTGGAAGTAAGCTTCAAGTCCGGGTCTGCCAGCTTATCGAGGAACTATCCTGGAATTTCAGCGGTGTAGAGCTGGATGGCTTCTTTATCCTTGGTATTGCTAAGGAGGACTCTGGCCTGATTGAAGGAAAAACCCGAGGTTAGTGGATCGAAATGAGAGCAAACAAGAAAGCAAATTCAGTTCACTTACAAGAAAGGCCTGGTTACTTGCGATACTCTGTGTAGGGCCCGGTGCGGCTGTTGGGAAGCGATGCCGTGTTTGCCCTTGGATCAGATCTTCATGGACATCGTGAGGCTTGCCGAATCTGTATGCTTTGGGGTCTCCGGTGATATGTTTCTCCGTAGTCTTCTCAAGCGTCGCTGTAGATGCCTTTTGGTGTCTATGAGCTTGAAGGCTCTTGTTTTGTGCGGTGAGACGTGGCGGTAACGACGGGAAGCAAATTGGCGCCTCTGTTCTGTGACACTTGAGCTTTAGGCATCTTTCTCAGACCGGTTGTGACAGCCCGCTTATCTAGGCAATTGCTGATGATGTAGGTACTGGAGCTGTGGTATAATTTGTACGTATAGTTGGGATCAAGATCAAGGTCAAGATTAAGATGGAGATTGGAAACAAAGAGGTTTAGTATGATGCATTCCGCACTTGATGATTACGTTACAGATGTGTGGCACATATCCGAGTTTAACAGTTGGATGCCGAAGCCAGAAGAGCGAAAGACCACCGTAAATTGAGAATGACCGCCGTAAATCAAAAATCACCACCGTATCGAGACAATAATTGTCACTCTTCACGACCCGCGGCCAGCGCCAGTAAGCAATAAGTGACGTCAACCATCCCTCCCCCCCCCCCCCNNNCCCCCCCCAAAAAAAAAAAAGCGGGTAAACCCTCTTCTGGGGGGAAAGCACCGGGCACAAGCCCAGAAACAAAGCACAGCAGGCCGGAGGCTGCCCCGAGTACTATGTCATGTACTCCGATCGCGAGGACTGGATAGTATCCTAGACATGGGAACAAGTTTGAACTCGTTCAATGGATAGCAGTCAACCCTTAGAGGCTATCTCCGATCACTCGGGCAACCCCTGGGCGATGACGCAGACCACTCGTGTTGCAGAGCCTCACACGTTCACTGAAGCATTAGAGGTTCTGACCTTAGCAATGTAGGTGATAAACAGGATGGTGATGATTCTGCAAGGTCAAGGATTAGTTTGTCCGGGGCTTCTGGGGGTTTCTGGGGTCTTACGGTTGAGTGCTCAGGCGACGAAGGTGGGAGCTCAATAAATAGGAAGGCGGAGAGGCAATGGTTGAACAATCTTGCAACGACGGTGTGAAGATTAAAAATGGCTGAAGGCGGCGAGTTGTGAGTCGGGAGTTGTGAAGTCGAATGTTGACGGCGAGAGTGACGGCACTTGAAGGAGTGTTCTTTGCGACGGACCGGGAATCAAGAGCGACAGCTGAAACTCAGAGAGTTAGCAGGAATCTTGTTGAGGATATGGCAGAAGCTTAGGTACCTTAAGAATGCTCAGTGAGAAGTGTCTCTGAGCTGTAACATGCAAACGACGAGAAGGGGACGGTCGAGGTGACCGTGGAGAAAGCGATTTGACTGAACGGGGACAGGCCATTGGGGCCCGAGAAGACGCTGACTGGCGATCTTATAGGTTAGTATGGAGCTCCAAGAGGGGAACAGACTGCTACGGGGGAAACTCTTGTTGGCGAGGAGGGCGACAATCGCTCAGAGGTACAGAAGTTCAAGGCAAGAAGGCGAGTGAGTGGCGTAAGCTTGGAAGGTGTTGACAACAATGTGGTGATGACTGGCGGAGAACGAGGCTGCTGGGGCGAAGCGTAGATTTCTCTAAACAAGTCAGCGTAGTGGGTGGTCCCCTTCCAGAAAGGATGGTGAGGCATATGATATGATGACGTGAAGGGGGAAAAGAAACAAGCAGAAACCGAAAAGGAAAACAGAGAAAGAAGAAGAACAAGTCGTAGCGCATATCGTAGGATCCATTACCGGCTTCCGGAATACCTAGACTGTGCGTTAAAAGAGATCAGTAGTAGAGCACACGACATGTCAACAGCAGAACATTGCCTCCGCATGGAGCGGAGGCAGAGAATTGGCCTATCCAGGGGGAGATCCAGTCCGGTCCAGGTCCACGGGAAGATTCGGTCCGGGTCTAGGTAAGTGTCCAGAATCCAGGGTCCAGAGGTCCAGTCCAGGTAAGGGTGCTGCAAGATGAAGCGGGGGCGCCCCACGCCGAAGAGACGTACATCTGACAGGTTAGCTTGAAGGAGGTGTGTCAGGCTAGTTCAGTGCTTCGGACGCAGGTCGCGTGCGTCGGCAGATGATACGTCCATGAACCAGAAAATGGTCAGTGGACTGGCTTTGGAAGGGAGTGGCGATGAAAGGTGTCAAGGGGAGGAAGGGGAGGGGGATGTTGGCAAGTACCTGAGGAGGAGTGGAAAGGATGGAGGAGATCTTGTTATGATGAAGACGGACGGCGAGCCCGCCGTTTGGTGATGATGATGATAATGATGGATCTCGAGATGAGCGTGGCGAAGGGCAAAGGGAGACTGACGAGATAGTGCAAGGTAAGTCGTAGCGAGGGGTTTCCGTCTTTGAGTACAAAGTGTTGGTGTTCATGGGTGGAAGAACATGAGAGGGAGCAAGAGGGTAGACTGGAGTAAGCAACCGGGATGTCGGTAAAGCGGTTGTTTGATTGGCGGTAAGAAGATGGGATAACGTGCCTCCGTCCTTTCACTTAACTCAGGAGGTGGTTTACATCAGAGCGCCCTAGCACACGCTTGAGGTGAAGAGTGTAACTTGGAAGAAAGGCAATCTGGGACGGAAAGATCCCATCTTCTGATGAAGTTGATGGTTGGTAGCTGACGGAAGAGAGGATGGCCGCGCGCGCTTCGGATGATTTCCAGAGAGTGGGAGATGGGATGGAAAGGAAAGGGTAGAAAAAGAAAATAGACCAGGGTGATGCAGAAAACTGCTGTCTGCAAAGCAAAAGCTGGAGCAAGCAAGCAGAAGACGTCGATAGATGGCTGAGGCATCAAGGATCACGCAGCCGACGTGGACTTGCTGTTGTTGCGTTGTGCTCCTTGTCCAAATACTTGCCTACCACAGCCATCAGCCAGCAGCCAGCCGGCGCAACGTGCCAACGTGCAAACGCCCGTTTTGCGAGCGTCTCGAAGAAATGATGAAAGGGAAGAAGGAATGGCGTGACGTCGGGTGTGTGATGTGTTTTGTTGTGTTGTGTTGTGGGAAACCCGGGGAGGTGTTCACTGGGCGTGTAAGAGCTTAATACCGAATTAGGCAAGGCGCCGGGGTGAGCTCTTAGTAACCGCAGATATCCACCCCGAACCCCGCCATTCCGGCAACCCCGCACTCCGGGCAGCAAGGACCCCCTCCACAACTCCTTGGCACCCGGAGACAGCCCGGCGCTGCCCCGTCAGGGGACCCGTCACTTCAGTCCCCTTTCATCCTATCCGCACGGCGCCTGGACCAAGCATTGCAGATAGGCAGGCACCTGGAAGGATTTCCGGTATCTTCTGCATCGATTCACTCAGTGTAATCCGACCTACAGGTCGGGCGACTCTAGTCATAACAATGTGCCGATTTGGTAGATCAGAACTGCTCAATCCCAGTGTCTACAATATATATAAGGTACATGCACATACAGATTGATAGTTATAACGTTGATGCCACTAACTCCAGCTTCAAGGTTTTTCATGCAGGCCAGATAGTGGAGGCTATGTCACCTAGCTTATATCACCTTACCTAGGCATATCATAATTTTGGATATCTTTGAAGCCTGTCTACTCGAAAACACCATAAGGCCTGCACACGACTCCGCTTTGCTTGAGATGCGTTTGGCCCACCTCAACCATGACACCGTATTTTGGTCAGAGCAGTCATCGTCAACACTCAGATTGGATCAAGACATTTGTCGACTAGATCCTGTATGACAGTTGTGATTTTGCATCCCTTGCGACGAGTCCAGAATGTTTGCAATATGGACAGGCAGAGCAATCTACTCTAAGAGCTTATTATCTACTCGGCTGTAAATGGGTGACGGCTTGCCCTGAATTTGGTAAGTGACCATCCCTGCAAATCCTGTACCTCACTTCATAACAACAAGAACCAGTACGTCTCTCGTGATCTAGTCCCTAGACAACGGGAGACACAGACTACAGTAATCTATCTAGCAGAGGTGTTGATGACCAAACACTACTGTAGCAGGACAAATGTTTAACTTGTATCATGCATTATCAAATTCTAATGAGCAACAAAGGTATCAAAAAGTACTCAAATTCGCCCTTGACAATTGATGCAAACAATTCAAGTACTCATGTGCTTCTCCGCCACCGCTGAGTATACCCGGGGTCAAGCTCCCGCTCCGCCTCGTCCGCCTTGGCGACAATGACATCTCGCTCTTCGGCGGTGTAAATGCCAAGGGCAACGAATGAATCCGCAGTGGATGTAACTGCCTCGATAAAATCGGCTTGCATGGGAAAAGGAGCTTGGTCCCAAAGCAGGTCGAGGAATGTCGGTCCATCCGTGCCTGGCGATTCGACCCCGGTGACGGGTACGTCGTAGCTCGGCAGTTCGTCGTTGCGCTTGCGGTTTGGGATTCCGGTGTCGACGGACCCAAACACGACAACCGGCTCGACACGTCGGAAGTATGATGATACGGCCTGTGCGTCACTCACGTAGTAAGGTCTCACGCTTACGTTGCGGCCCTCCAAGGCGGTGGCGGCGAAGAGCGGGTCACCGGCCGCGGTCCTTCCGGTCTGCCTGATCGCTGCCCGCGAGTAGTCGCCATCTAGCTTCAGGTACCGGTACAGCGATAGCTGCCAGAATCCGTCGGCACCGTCCCCGCTCGGCGGCGTGCCGAGGGTCTGCAGCAGTACTGGGCCCCACATGATGGCCTGGGTGTCTGGGCGGTCCCTGGCGCGTTCGACGCGGATGCTGAGCAGCATCTCGACTTCGATCACGTCGCCAGTCTGCCAAAAACGACTCAGGGTCAGATATGTGCTGGGCTGGGCATCTTGTCCTGACTGCTCTTCTCCGTTGATGGTGACGCGGAAGCCGCCCTCGCGAGTCCAGACGGGCACTCGGAGCTTGATATCTAGCGGGCCGTCACCTGCAGTGACGGTGAATTTGGATGAGCCCACCCGTGGGAATGCTGTCTCCTGCGTGACCGTGAAGCCTTTCTCCTCCCAGTGCACAGTAGCCGGGACGTACAGGTTAACCCACAGCGCGGAGCCGTCGGCCGAGCGCAAGTAGACCGTCTCTTGGTACTTGGAGTGGCTCTCCATCCCCGTGCCGCCGCAGCAAGTGCCGATGTTGTCGTACTCACGAGCCGTAGCCGGTCCGAGTGGCTGGAAGTACGTGAGCTGAGGGTCGTCGACGCTGTTTGTATCTGCCCGCGACCCGGTGATCATGTTGAACAAGCCGCGCTCGTAGTCGTCCATGTAGGCTGCGCTGTGGTTGTGCATGAACAGATTCCGGGCTAGCTTGAGCATGTTGTACGTCGTACACGTCTCTGCGCCGCCGCTCTTGTTGAGAGCATTGGCGATGTTATCTCTGTTTTGGAACAGCTCGTTGTTGTCCTCGTGGCCGGGGTAGTTGCCCCCCGTGCCGCCAGTGGCGAGCTGTCGATGTGGGACCACCCACCTGTAGAAGTTTCGCGCGGCGTCAAGGTACTCCTGCTCTCCACTCTGTTCATAGACCCTCATGTACCCAAGGAACTGCGGAACATGCGTGTTTGCATGTAGCCTCTCACGGCGACGGCGGCCGGGGATGTCCTGCGGTAGAACAACTAGAATATCGTTGTCCTCCACAGCCGCGCCGAACAGTGACTCACGGTTGTCAAAGGCCTTGGCAGTGACCAAGTGCATGGCATCATGAGTTAAGTCGTAGACCTCGGGGAAGATCTCATTGGCCCCTCCATATTCGCCGGCGATGTAAACGTCCCACATGTAATTGAGGTCGTCGCGGCTTATGTTACCCTGGTAATCAGGGTGGTTCTTATCACCGATGGTCAAGGCGAGGTGAGCCCACTCAGCCATCTTCACAACAACTTCAAGAGCTTGAGTGTTATTTGTATTGTAATAGGCATCCAGCAGACCTCTCAAGATCTTGTGCTGTGTATACCAAGGTGCCCAGGTGTTTTTGTCAGGGTCACCTCCATAGACAGCGAAACGCGGCGGGCCGAGCCTCAGAACGGTGTCCTCCGGAAGAGCACCGAGGTAGCCTGGGTATGTCGGAATCCAGGAAGCACTACCCTCGCCCGTCACATTACCGTTTAGACGAGCGTTAATCGCATCTTGGCATGCCGCTAGTTCGTGAACCATCCAGTCCAACTTGGACTTGAAGATCTCTTCGCCCTGGTCGGCGTATGCCTGAGAAAGAGCCGTCATAAAATGGCCTGTCCAGTGTCCGCTAAGCAGCCCGCCATCTTCCCAACCTCCGGGCACCTCGACGTCATCTGGATTCGGTCGGCCGGCCTGGTTGTTGAAAAGCACCAGGAACCGGCGCTCATCATAGTGTTGCAGGTACGTCTTGATTCTGTCACGCTTCTCTTGCAGCAACCCGCCACCGAGCCTCACCTGGTCGAGGCGGAACGGACGTACAGGCGCAGTCCCGCCTGGCCCGGGGTCGGGAGGGACTCCGGCAACCAATGCTGAGCCAGAAGCAGAGGACATAGCCGCAGGTATGGCCCCATTGCTGATGATCATCGCGGCAACTCTCCAAACGACGCTCTGGAAGAGCCACCAGGCATTGAGGTGAGCCATGGATGATGGATGGCACTAGACTTGCCTCGACTAAAGTCGATAAATGACTACGCAACTCCCCAATACTCAGGTTGAACCTACCTTGCAGCAGTGCCCGCTCATCGGCTGTCGTTAATCAGTGATTGCCCAGGTGTCTCCCAGGGAGTTCATGGAACTGTCATTCAAGTCTTGTTTGTGCCTAAACAAGTCATGAAAAATAGGCATGCCACAACTATTGCCCCGTCCATTCAACTAGACTCGAGTGCTACACGCCTAGCTACTTTATCTGGTTATATGAATGTAGGTCCCATATATCCTCCCTTATCGACACTCCGTGGGGGTTGTTCGGTCCGCATTTCTCTGTTGACCAATTGGTGCGGCTGATGAGATCGGCCTTGGCAAAACACCCATGTCACTTCACTGCCGATGTGACTGGCTGAATGAGCTTCAAGTTCCCCGCAAAGTTGACAGCATCCAACCCCCAACAAGCAGGTAGTATTAATTCATGAATGATGGCTATCTTATCCACTGCAACCTTCTCACCCGTCGGCTCATCGGTTCATCTGATCATCTTTTCCTACCGAGCAAAGCTTCATCCAGATAAGAATAAGCAAAGCGCATTGGCGAGGAATTTTGTTATTGATTTCCAAGGAGTTTTGTTCTAGTATACTGGTTATCTCTTACACATCCCACATCGGTCACCAACATAGACAGCACCTCACAAAAACTACTTAAAACTTTTCGCTGTCTAGAATCAATGACCTTACCCTGGCTCACCATATAAGTACCCTCTTCTTTTTCTAAATGCAGTGAGCGGTGAGACAGCTCACATAGCAAATAATATGCACCGGTATGTTGTGTGTTCAATTTTTGCCTGCGCCACACAACATCTTTTGAAATCGTCCATAGCTATCAATCATTAAGTGGACCTATGATAATTTAAGAGACAATCGAGACCAACACAAAGCTTTAGCCCCTCTAGAGAGCGGACAAGGATTGTTAAGAGGGCTAAGGGACTCTTGCGGGGGTTGAGCCCCACGGTCAGTATCACGGGATGCCTTCTGCTTCTTCTTCCGCTTCATCTTCTTTTGCTCCTGAGCCTCCCGGCTTGTGAGAGCGCATGGAGCCGTAACTTGGGGCTGGCAAGAAAGTGCGGGTTGTTGACCAAGGCATGAGGCTTGATGATGAGCCCAGACAAAGGCGTCATGAAAGACAAAAGCAATGGCCGAGATAATGATTGGGTTGCATATCATGAGGATCTGGCTGCTTTCGTTTGGTGTCATTACAATCCATCGATATGAGACGGTTCGTTCAGAAGTTGGATTTCTCAAATTAGCCCTACAGAGCGAATAGAAGGAAAGCAAAACACAGCCCTCACTGAATGATAATAAATAACCCCTTTTGATAAAACCCAGGGTAACATCCCGTTGACTTTCCAGCAGAGTTCCGTCTTCACGTGAACAGCTGCGATACCTGCCAAATCGAGCCAGTTGGTACGTAAATAAATGCCTCCATCTAAGAAAGCCATTCTGTCGTTCGTTATGATAATCGATCAACCCTTCAGATAGCTATGCTGGTGGTCATCACGACACACATCTTCCAAAGAGGCCAAGAGGCAGGATCATTGATTAGCTCAGGAGTGCGGACAGGCTCAATGGTAGCGAAAAGGTTGCACAGTCCCCCGGATTCACGTTTCCCATGCACCCAAACTCAAATAGATTGAGGATGATCCCGGTGGTCATTCGCAACTTGCATTGGGAGTTGATACCTAGCATGTCCAGGGAACGACCTGCGGTATCATGTGCATCTACCGGGCTCAAGCATTTTTGGAATCGGCCGTGTGCGTCTTTGCTGCGGTCCCGTCCGTCTCAACGCTTGCGTTCTTGGCCTTGATGTGTCTGCGCTCCAATTCCTCCTTGCCTGCGCTCCCCCGTGCAGCGCCCTTGTCCTGCGCAGTCTCATCGCCGTCTCCATCATTACGGCTGTGGATCGGGCAGACCCCCACGCCCAAGGTGCACTTGCCGAGATCCTCGGGGTTCTCGCCGGCGTCAGTAATGGCCATGACAATCCACGGGACTGCTCGGTTTCAGGTTCTCAATTAGTGACTGGCTCCAAGAGCGCGTACGTTCTCCTTCCCGCGTTCAGCCTGGGGGAAAATGCCCACTTACAGTCGTGATCCTCGCACATCTTCATGGCCAGGATATCCCACTTGCGGGATCCGACTCGCTCAATCTTCCACAGGTTGTCACTAGAGGCGATGCAGTCCCGCAGGATCATTGCGTCCCAGGGGTGATCCTGGCAGGTGCTTCGGGGCCCCTTGAAGAGCCGGATGTTGCTGGGGTGGGTGGACAGGAAGCCCCAGTCGCCGTAGAAGCCGGACGTAGGCGTACCGACGACGTTGACATTGACTAAGGGTCGGAGGATGGCGTTAGTGGATTTCAGACTGAGCATGCAGATGTGTAGGGTCGGGGCTTGACCTGCCTCTCACGGGAAGGTCCTTGTTGGGAGAAGCAGACGCAGATATGTCTCTATCTGCATCGAAGCCAATGAGACAGCCTCCAGCATTTACGACCATCTTCTTGCATGCCAAGTCGCCCTCAACTGTCCAGTCCAACTGTTTCAAGGCAGCGGGGGTCAGCTACTGCCGTGATCTCGCTGAGCAATGGAGTGATGCGCATAGAGAGTGGTCTCACTGAGTAGAAGGGGGGATCTCCAGTTTTGCGGTCGGTGATTGGAACTTCACCATGGTACTGTGTCGTGCGCACAGATGGTTAGAGAGACAAGAGACATCAAGACAGACAAGTAGGCCATCTGGCAACTGGCCAGCTTGAAGGGAGAGAAAATTGACTGGTCATACAATCTTGCGAACGTAGCTGTTGGTGCCGAAACGGAACAGCTGACTAGATTCTCCCGAGAGAAGGCGGCGATCGCGGGCGAACATGGGAGTTCTGCGGAACCATGCCTGAGGGTTACGCTTGATGAGATCTCGAGCTTTGATCCATTTGGGGGGTATTCCGAGCAGAAGCTGCTGGATGTCCGCCAGGGAAATGCCGGGCATGGCCATAGTCATATGATGGTTATAGTTATGGTAACTCTCTGGATGTGCACGATCTGGGTGATGTCTTTTCGTCTCTCCGTTCAGTCGCTCTGTGTCGCGGCCTGTTTGTCTTGGAGAAGGGTGGAAGAATGGGAATGAAAACGTTGCATGCTGGGGCTGGATTGAGAGAATGTGTGAGTCGAATCCTCTCATATACAAGAACCAGAAAAGAAGGGGAGAGGAAGTGACGGAACAACAAGATTCTGGACCCGGCTGGTATCTTCGAGATAGGAAGGAATCTTCCAGCGGACATGGAAATACAGGGACGGCAGCGTCAGTGTCGAAGATGGAAGGCACGCCAATACATAAATCTACCTGATACAACAAGTAGGTACCTAGTAGTGTAGGCGCGCAAAAAAGTATGGCGTTGATGCATCGGTAATATGACAGAATATCATATCCAATTAATTGATTATTGATTCATAAGCAAAAATCACGTTTTGCTTTGATGGAAGTTTTTGAAATGCACTTTAATATGGCCAGATTTTGCTATGATGCAGTCTGCTACGACACTACCTAGGTACTACCACCGGTTGTATGCCGGCTTCATTGCGGTCCGAGATGGCTGCCAGTGAGCACCCACACCCGGGTACCTAGGTACGTAAACAACGAAGTTGGTTGACTGATCCCATCCTGCTGTTTTCACAAATGTCAGCGCTTGGAGAAGAATGCGCATCCAGAGAAGCCGGATGCATGGTCCAATCCGCCCGTTTTAATGCAGCTATCCAACCCTTGGCGTGCAGGTGTAATGGAGAGGGCGATGTTCTCGACCAATCAAAAAATGTTTCCTATCCCGATTTGGCACGCTGGAGCCCTCCAATGGTCTTGAACAGGTAAGAGTGCAACGATTTCCAAGCCTAACCGAGGTGGGCAAGGCCAAAATCACGGATGTCAGACGGCGCCAAGAGGACGGTTCCTCAGTAATTAAGGAGGCACTCGCCAGAAATCGATGCGTCTGGTCTAAATGATGCGAAAATTCCATTGTACTTTGCCGTGTAAGGTACCTAGCTAGACTACCTAGGTAGACTGGTGGTGGAGGTGGATCCGTGGTATGGCTGGTGTGCCTCACAGCCGCGCTCTTATTTGTATGGGCACTCAGCAAATACAAGTGGGGCTGCCAGGGGGGCAGCCTCAACCTTAGCACGATAAGATAAGAGCCGGATCGACGACGAACCAATCTTGAGTCTGACCTAGCCTCTTGAACCTTGGACCTTGAATTGAACGTCCATAGCTACTGCCCTGGTGGGAATTGCCTTGTCAAGAAGACTGGCCGGTCGATGTTGATCAAAAGAACCACGGCAGTTTCAGCTCTAGTTCGTCTTGTTTCTCATTCATCATCGGGGGCGCCCTCGTTCGTTCCAAAGGTGGAGACTGTTCAATGGGCATGCATCGTTTGGATCGATGCCGATGGACGAGAGAGTCTTTTTTTTTTTTTTTCAAATCCCGAGGAAAGACAAAGGCAGGGTACCTGACCCCTGACCGAGGGATGCTGAGACCGAGAAGTTGCAAGCCAGCTCTCCTTCTTAAATTGCCCAGGTCCAGGTCTCAGCAGTTCCCATCACCTGCACCAACTCGTAGTCGTCGAAACAGGAGCCCATATGTCTCATCGACTGACAAAGACCAGCAAAAAGAGCTGTCGCAAGCCCTGGCTGCCCTCAACGACCCGTTGGCCCCTTGCTGCTCGCAACAACTGGCACCGCCTAATCGACACCTACGCCGCCGCTGCCGCACGCAACGACGCCGGCCGCGAATCATTCTCCTTGTGGGTGCTAGCTAAGCTCCTGTTCGACCGCCTGGTCGCAGTCCTCGCCGCCGAGTTCACCCCGGCCGGGGACGCCTGCCCCGATCGAGCCTTGTTCGGCCGTCTGAAGCTCGACAGGGGCGGCTTTGATCTCGATCCCCACTGCTACCTTCCGCTATTCTTCGGCCCAGACATCTTGACGCGAAAGAGACTTCGAGAGGGTCTGCGGGCGTGGCTCAATGAGCTGGCTGCTACCAGCGACACCCAGTCGCCTCGGCTGATCGATCATTACCCCCGACTACTCGACGAGCGCAGACGACGATTGAAGCAGCGAGCCGAGGCAGACTCCTGAAGCTTTTGTCAGTGCCGACATTGAGAACCTAAGACAGCCGCCTGAAAGGATGAAGACGTTAGGTAGGTGTGGGTCGTGCGACCGTTATTTATTCTCTTCTTAGTCTTCCCAATGGGATGTCCTCAACATCCATCTACCTAAATCTCTGATATTCTTTCCCTTCGCCTAGCCAAGCCGGCATTCTGTCTAATCCGTTACAAGAACTAACGTCCTCTTAAAGTAGGAAGAAGAACCGCGATTTTCGATCGAGATCTTCTACGAGCCAACCCCAGGACGACCGAGGTGGTCAGACGGGTCCAGAGAGCAGCAAGTCCGCCCGGGTATCTAGCCTGGAGACCTACGGCGACGGAGCCTTCGATTCTAACCCCAGCTCTCCGGGCAGCATGGTAGACATGAACCACAATATGCAAGACACCATCGCTGCTTGCGGGAACGATGCGGACATTGGACGAAAAGATTTGTCAAAATAGTCTCTCGATGACAGTGGATTTTTGAAGGTAGCAACGTCAATTTACAATGCCATCGGATTTAATGATAATGGTGGCGGACTCAATGGCGATGGCAATGGCATCGATTCCGATGGCGATGAATCGTCTGCCGGGAAGTCATTTCGTCGCCAACGGCTCGGGAACACAGATATCGCACCACACACACCGTCGTCGGCACTATTCCCTGATCGAGTATCGCAAATCACCTCCACACCCAGCGGCAGGAACGCCAATGCTCCTTTTTCCCTCAGAGTCAGATCCACACCGCCAGCTCCCGCGATGGACCGCGCCAATGTCGTCCCTGGATTAGTTTCTGAGCGAGAACCGCCCGCAAAGCGCTGCAAGCTCGACCCGGTGAACACCATCCCAGGCAATAAAGTCGAGGCAGTTCCTGGCAAGGCAGTCGCCCAAGGCCAGGGGATCGCAGACCACCTACACATTTTGAGGCGCCTGGCTCAATGACATGCTCACACAATGGGCGCTCGAGCTGATCGTTGCAACTGCTAGGAACTGACGCCTCGTGGAGAGCATGTATATCCCAGACGATTCGTGGGTTAACGAGACTGTCCGTCTGCAGTTTAAGAACGAGGACTACAGTACCCTCAACATCCTCCTGCCTTAGAATATCGACAATACACACTGGAGTCTTACGTATCTGCACACCCAGACAAGAAAAGTGTACATGGTGGACTCCATCGACGTGGCAGCCACGGAGAAGAAAATGTGGACTCTCGCTAGCGCCTTCATCAAGAAGTAGCTTCCGGAGATACTATGGCCCCCAAATGCCAGTTAGTTACGCTGTGCCATCCCCTGTGCGAGACAAGACGATTTCAGCAGTTGCGGCATCCGCATGATTGTTGCAGCCATGCGTCTCAGATGCGGAGATGGCTGCAACACAGACCTGTGCCTCCCAATTGATACGGCACTTTGGCGGACGATCTTACTCAGGTTGCACAAACTTTCAACCTCTTTGCTTGGCCGGGATGATCCAGCACTGCAGACTGGTATTGACATGCCTGAGGCTCTATGCGACGGTGCGGGTCGGGATCATGTTGATGCTGGTGGTACAAGGAAAGACAGTGGCAGCGCCCAAGAGCGACTCGCAGACCTCAAAGCTACAGCCAAGAAGCTCCAAATATACTGCGAAGCGGAAAATTATGCGTATCTGTGTATGTGTCAGGCAAACGTATTCATATAATGTGTGTCAGCTGCAGATACTTGCTAGACCTGGTATACGCCAGCAAAATAGGATATCTTAGATACCTAGAACCACCATCCACTTATTTAGATTCTGGGCGGGTTCGTCAAGTTCAGGGCCTAGGTGAAACCCATGCACACAGATCGCAGACTCTGCGCTGTTCAGTGGCCTGGGGGTGTTGGACTCTGCTGATTTCCTAGTCACACAACACAACAGCCTACCTTACCTACCTAAGAGACAACCTTGGAACTCCCCATCCATCCCTAGGCCAACCATCGGTTGGCATGTTTCCATCGGGACCGGACGACGCGTGGGCGTAACAAAACAGGAAGCCTTGGAGATCACTTTCACAATTTCCCGCTCATCACCACTGAGTAAGTAACTCGACACAAGCTTCATCTCACGCCGATACACCTGACGCTAAAAAGGGACGCTAAAAAGTGTCCACCGCAAACAAGAAGAAAGCAAACAACAACAGCCCACTTCCTCACAACCGATGACCTCTGACTAGGTAAGCATATAGCTACATTCTATTCTGCGAAAGCAACGGACAGTCTCATTCATAGGTATAGCACCCTGCGCGCGTAGTAGCTGTTTGGTATAGTTATGCGTCTTTACCGAATATAACCAAGCTTCCTCCTGCGCTTCGCCTCTCCCTCAGTATTCACTCGCGCCAGCGGCAGCAGGCGCATTCACTCACTCACCTCTCAGCTCTGGCGCACCACGTCCAGCTTGTACCTGAGTGCTATCAGGTAACTGACCGACCTGACCAACACATGCAACTGATCCGTCTAGTCATACCTCCTCCGCGAAAGAATCCCCAGCAATGTCTCTCGCCAATATTGACCGCGAGTCCCTAGACTTGATCCTCCAACTCCAACTAGACGATCTAGCCAGCCTGACAGACAAGAAAGGAAAGGCCCGCGAGGGGGAGACAACAGACCTCCAGGTCGCCATCGAGACATACAAGACAGAGCTACAATCCCAAGAACAGATCATTGCAGACCGAGCCATGTGTAGAAGCATCGGCGAGGTAGTCCGACGGGACACCAACACCATCGCGGTACATCCTGCGGAGGAGAACCCGGCGGCCCACGACAGGCGTCACACATTGGTATTGGGAGGGAGGCGGGTGAATAACGCCCCGACGACTAGCTCAGGTCCCGGTACAACAACCACAAGAGAGAGCCCAGCAGCAGCGTTGAACGACAAGAACACCAATCACCAGCTTTCAGTAGTGAGAGAGAACTCCCCAGAAGACGTTCATGCGCCATCCTCTCCCAAGGTCGTCGCTGAATCCTCTTCGATGGCGAGGAGTAGGCCTTCGGAATCTGGCAGGGCGGAGACCCTAGCAACTATGGACCTGTCTACTGCGCCGACGACGACGACAACGACAACGACGACAGCGGAATGCATCAGCTGCGGTGACAATCACCACGCCGTTGCACAGTGCCCCTGCTCTCACGAATACTGCTACGCCTGTCTCGAAACCCTCTTCCGGTCCTCCCTGACCGACGAATCCCTCTTCCCTCCCCGATGCTGCGGCCAGCCGATCCCCATTGGCGATGACGACGACGACAATTCCTCGACAATCCGAGCCTTCATACCTGCCGGGCTCGTCGACGAGTTCCTTGCCAAGAAGGTCGAGTTCGAAACACCCGACCGCACCTACTGCCACCAACCAACATGCTCAACTTTTATCCCCAAGATTCCCTCCTCGTCGATCGTCGAGGGCGATGGAGAAGACGTCGCCGCTTGCCCGAAGTGCCACGCCAAGACATGCGTCATATGTAAAGGGCCTGCCCACCAGGGCGACTGTCCGCACGATGCTGTGACACAGGAGGTGCTGCGTGTCGCAGCCGAGAACGGCTGGCAGCGCTGCTACTCGTGTCGCCGGATCGTGGAGATCGAGCATGGATGTAACCACATGAGTAAGCATTGAGTTTGCTTTGATTTGATTTGCATCGTCTTTCCCGACGATGCGGCATTTCATTCACCCCAATGAGTTGACTGACTGACTGACTAACTATTGCGACAGCTTGCCTATGCGGAGCACAGTTCTGCTATGAATGCGGATTGCGATGGAAGACCTGCCGCTGCCCACAGTGGCGCGAGTCACGGCTCCTCGCTCGTGCGAGCAATGTAGTAGACCGAGATATTGCCGAGGGCAGGGTTCAGGAGGCACAGCGAGCAGACCAAGTGGAGAGACAGAGGCGCCACCTGATGGAATTCCACGACTGCAGGCACGCCAATTGGAGATATCTCCAGGGCGCCCATCGTTGTGACGAGTGCCGCGATGTGCTGCCGAGCTTCATATACGAATGCACCAACTGCCGGATCATGGCTTGCCATAGATGCCGCTACAATCGGATTCGTCCCGGTAATAGACGACATCCCTGAGAGAGTTTGGAGAGACATGGAATATAACACGAAGTAAATTTGAAAGCTTGGACTCCTGAAGGGTGTTTTATTAACCCAAGACTAGGAGGAATGCCATGGGTACAAGGTGAAGGTAGACATCGATCCTGTACTACTTCATGTATGTATTTAAGAAAGTAGCTTACAATTCATCTTTGTCTTGTCATATAAGACGTTTGTTCCACCCACGCTTTGAAAAAGTCCAGGACTATCGGTGTTAAGACCTCCACTTCTACTTCACTAACACAGGCCACCACAATAACCCCATTCATACCTTGTATCGTTGCCTTAGCACTATTGTATCCAAGCAGCTCGGCGACTTCGTTACAAAACAAGGTTTCCGTCCTGGAAGATCGCCAAGCAGGCTTCACCGTTAACCCGCCTGGCAGTGGACTTCTACTTACACGCCCCATAGCTTTAACAAAAATGAGGTTGCGTAGTTGGTGGAGGTACCTCAAGCATGCCTCACGAGTCCAAGTTTTGCGCGGACCTTAAGGCCTACCTACCTAGCTAGCTAAGGCCAGTGCGCTAGGCTCCTGAGACATCAATGATGCCCGTGGGTCAGATGAGATAAGATAAGACGGCACCTGTAATTTGGCCTACACGGCAAGATAGGCCAAAGTCAGTGACACTGGCGTTGGGACCAACCATCTAATCATCTATGCGCGTACCGTGATGCATAGTTGTAGGCAGTTCTCAGTATGTACATGTACTCATTAGCGAGCACATCGCTATTCTTAGTCCGGCGTACAAGTCCAGGGTGCATTGAAGCAAGTGCGGCTTAGCTGGGGTGGGGAGGGCCGGGCCGGGCCGTGCCAAGGAGCGGTAATCCCAGGTATGGGGGTGCGGGGCATCGTACGTGTACATGTACAGAGACCACCTACTCACCTTCCCCT